TCGTTTGACCAACCGGTAATAAGGCTGATCGTGGCATGATGATGTTCAGCGCTACACTGAATTGGCTCTAAATACAGTTGATAAACTTGAAGCGGGTCTTCCAGCTCAGAAAAGAAAATATTAAATATAACAGCTCTATGCGGAGTCTCTGAGATTATCGTGTGTCTTTTGAGGCTCATTTTGGGCAGCACAGCTCGCATTTCTCTTTCATGAGCTCCGTAAGTGTCTACATGAAATGTTACCTAATGAATATTTAAAAGTAAACAGCTAATTGTAACGACGACGTAGTATAAACTCACGGGCTCTCTAGTGGGCAATGCCCGAAAAACTAAATGAGTGTAGTCGTTGTTTTCGTTTCGAATTTCATGCAAGTCTATAGTGACCAGTCGTCTTTTGAAGCGGCTCGTCGGAGCAATTTCAGAGTAACGAGTTAAATGTTGGGCTTCAACACTAAAAATACTGTAAAAAAAACGAACATCCATATCGTAGAGCACAAGTTCTCACCATACTCTGCTGGCTTTGTTCGGAAAGGCCGCGTTGCAAGCGAAAAGCCAGTCCGTCACTTCCAAGTTTATAGCTAAAATGGACAGCATTTTATAACCGGGCTGCAAAGTCAGCCCTACCATATACCACAGGGGTTGTTTAAGGCCTGTTTTGAAGTCTGCCGTGTACTGTTTCCTAATATCCTCAATCCATTCCCCTGTATAGTCAATTTTTACCAATAAACTCTTATTGCTGCCAATATGATGCATTGTTCCACTGTTCTAAAAAAATTAGCCGAATAAAACCAATTTAACTAGACATCAGTGCCTGTGACGCACATGTACCAGGTGGTGTCTAAACACGTTCGTAACAAAGCTCGAATTCGTAGACACTTGATGGGTGTTGCGGTCTATACAATTAAATAGGGCTCGATTAATAGCCAGTACAAGTTGCTTACACCAAAGAATCTGTACATGGTTGGATTCCACCCAACACCTGGCAACATTAGTGGACTGAAACAAGAACAGTGAAAATACTGACTGCATGTGACCAAATGGATAGGCTTACCACTACGTTAATGCTGCCGTTTCTGCCATCAACAGAGAGATAAGATGGCACCAAAAGGTCACTGTATCCACCAGCAATGCTTACCACGGTAATATCATTTTGATCCACAGAGCTGCTGGCATAAAAAGCACTGGATTGACGGTCGAAATAAACTGGGCTTCTTAATAGCGGCGAAGCCAATGTAATCAGAACTGATACTAGTTGCTTATTTTCCTTCGTTAGACTGGCTATAGCTTTTCGGGCGACGATGCCACCCTACAAAATGTCCTTTCGAAATATCCAGCATAAACCAACCGGTGCAGTCGTATTTACCACTGAATGGCCAATAAGCACTACTTGCTTTGGGCCGTTTCGTTGGTGTTTGTACAGTTCTAGAACCCGCTCTATAGACTTTAGAACATACTGCAACTGTTCAAATAGAATAGGACCATAAAGGGCACTTAACTCTGAATTAAAGTCGATAGTGTAATAGTCAAAATGATCTGAACTGCGGGAATTTAGGGCTTTTCTCAGGGCCACAGAAGAAAGGGAACGGACTGTAACATTACGGAGTTTTAGGAGCAAAACTGGTATTGGCTGCAGCTGAATAGGTGGTACCTTGCTGGTAAGACCCAGCATTTCCTGGTATGAAGACGACCGGAATCCCCGTGAAGTCCATATTTCTCGCTTTTTCTGTCATTCGTCCTTCACCATATGCGTACAAGCTATACTTTCGATAGTACGTGTCGATGGGTTGAGATATTTTCTAAAGAAAACTAGAATGTTACACACACATTGGCGGTTACATTTTCAGGTTGAATATGAAAAGCACTTATGTTTTAGGCTTTTTATTTCTGGAGAGATACATTTAACCATTCATCATCAAAAAAGTACACGAATTAATCTTTGTCGTTTCACTCTCATCACAGCTTTGTAGTTTCCATTTTAAAAAATCGGTTCGACTACGAAAACTGGAGGTTTTGTCAAAAGCACAAAACAAGCTAATTCATTTCACTATGTTAAGACGTGTTTTCCTTGAGCATGGAAAACAGAAAAGTGCAAGACTTACCACATACTGAGGAAATTCAAACATGTAAGTCATTTCACAATTTCCGTCAGGTTCGTGGTCGGTTAGAAAAAAGCTAAGTCCCGCCAAAAATAAAAACGTTGTTGTAGTACATAATAGAACAGATATTATTACTAACTTTCTCATATTAACTAGTTTAAATTTTAATTTAAAACACTGTGGGAATCTTTAGGTTATTTTTCAATTCCACAGACTACACGTCAGCTTGCGTTGACAGTTGAGAACCACAGATCATAGCGATAACGTCAGACAAGAGGAATGCAATAAATTGATAAGAATTGACGATTTACAAAATTTTGATGTCATTTGATGCAAAAAATTCGTAAAATCTCAACCCGTATAATAAAATACAGAAACCCACAAGAACCATAAATATAAAATGTTGTACTTAGATGATTAATATTGCTTAGCATACAAGTCTTTGATCTTTTTTACAATTTAGACTTAAGACTAGACATGAGTTTTTCCAATTTCATGGCTTGCTGGAGGTTTCCTTTGATTTTTAGCTTTCCCATCATGTAAGCAGTGGCGGGTTTCAATTTGCCTGCAAACATATTGAAGAAATTCTTGCTATCCATGGTCAAAGTTGCATCGGCAGGAGTTGGAGGGTCTCCTTGACCGCAAGAACCTTTTCCAGTCTTCAAGTCAATATACCTAAAAACGAAACGTCCGTTGACAAAAAACAACAAGGCTATTCGTTCGGGTTTTAACTTAATTCCAATTTTTTTAACTTACCATTTTCCAGCTTCATCTCCAGTAACCACAAAAGCAAACACCGCTTGAGTTTTGCTGACCGAATCTGGTGAAAGATTCCCCTCGATGGCTTTGAACAGCTTTCCAACCTCGCCCTGAGGTTCGCTTGGTGCATTTTGGCGATCGGACGCCCCCTGGACGGCTTCTGTTCCAACATTATCTCCCAAAAAGAAATCGGGCATCAAGTTGTTTGCGTTTGTAGGATCGCAGGCGTATTGAGTTAAGTCTTTTACCCCTGCCGCTTTTAGGACCTGAAAAATGCAACCGCAACTAAAACATTGCCCTTGTGCCATTTCAAACGAGCACCCTGAAGCTGTAAGAAAATTCAGATTGAAAATGATAGCGTTTTTACCTCATCATCTATAAAAAAGTTTCCTGTGGTTGTTTTCGAGTCCTTCGTTAATATAGCATAAGCGGCATCTGCACATATTTCGGGTTTGCGGCATTGTCTTGCCGCTTCTTTGCCACCTAACATCTCCATTGCTGCTGTGTGAATGGCTGAAAATATTGAGTTTATTCAATCTGTTCTCAGCTGATGCATTTGGTAATTAGCAGTACCTGTTCTGGGCCAGAGTGCATTCACCGCAATCCCCAAAGGTCGAAACTCCTCATGCATGCCTAAAACGCACATAGACATACCATATTTAGCCATGGTGTAAGCCACATGGTTCTGGAACCAATGGGGCTGCATGTTTAGAGGTGGAGACAGATTTAAAATGTGTGGGTTCTTGCTCTTCTTCAGATAAGGAAGACACTCTTTCGACCTGAAGCGCGCAGATTATTAGGATCATTGAGAGGCAGGTGTGATGGGTGAACTCACACAAGGAAGGTTCCCCTGGTGTTAACGTTATGCATTAAGTCGTATCGCTTCATATCGGTGTCCGGCGTTCTGGTCAGAGAAATGGCACTGGCATTATTCACGAGTATATCGATTCCTCCAAACTTTTGAACAGCTTCTTCCACAGCTTTTCTAACTTGCACTTCGTCTCGAATGTCGACCACACATGGGAGGCTCTTTCCGCCCGCCTTTTCCACTAGGCATTTAAAAAACTACGTTCTGAAAACTGGTCAGAAGTGACCAGGTTCAACATACCTTCTTCAGCAGCTGTATAAATCGTTCCTGGCAACTTTGGATGGGGAGTGGCCGTTTTGGCCGCAATCACAACATTGGCCCCGTCCTTAGCAGCTTTCAAGGCAATTGCCTTGCCAATGCCCCGACTGGCCCCAGTGATAAATATAGTTTGGCCTGCTAATTTTCTGAAACCAATCAAAGCTGCCAAATAGTATAAAGACTGAGTACAGTTCCCAAATATGATTCAAAGCATTCGAGATATCACAGCCAATAGGCACAGAAGTGACCAGAAACCGGTTTTAGTGTTGCCTCTATTACGGTTACGTGGTGCCCCAGCAGCTACTGTTTGTTTTATTTAACATGTTGTATCAAAAGGATGGCACACACAAGTAGGCTGTTCGATATGTGACCTGCAGAGCCCACGTAAACCGCTTTTCGATCTCTGTCCCATTCTAAGTAGGGTTTAGACCAATGTAAGCAAACCTAGTAGATTCGTATGATTCGTATGATTGGGACTTACCCGGTATTAATCATTTTTCCTTTGGCAAAATGTAGTTAACTTGAATCTTGAATGGTAGCTCAACGCGTCTTTTCCTGGTCTCGTACACTGCACTTGATATCCGTGATTTTAGAGCGATTAAATTAAGCACAGCAATACAAAGTCCAAAGTTCTCAAACAAAAATGTAGAAAACAGCTTAGAAAATTAAATAAAAATAAAATAACTGTGCTGACGTTTTTCGCATTCCCGTTAACTGACAGTGGATTAAGCAGCCGAGTTAGTAGATATGGCAACGTGGTGGTGAGACTGGGCAACGGTTTTTATTTTACTTTAAATTTGTTTCGGGTTGAATGAAAATAAAGCTGAAACAGAATGGAACCAGTTTTCAAGTTGGGCCATTAAAATACTTAATTCAGCGACTGAATTAATTTAAATAGCCACAGCTGAATAGTTTTTGCTTGAATTGGATAATTCATGTTTCTTATTAATATTTTAAAGTTCCAAATTAATATGCTCTTGTACTTAAAAAGCGAGTCCATGGTACCTACTTGATATTCTCTTTCATCCAAAACCTTTTACTGATAAATTTAGAGGTAGAAGGTGCTAAGAATGCCCGTAGGTTTCGCAAATAATCTCATTTATTTTTTACATCTTTGTGAAGGCAAGTGGAAGAAGCGAATAATTCTGCTCAGTACCATTCAAGTTATTGGAAATAGCTTGATTATAGTTCCAGCCACTAGTGGCTTGTGCGACGCTCATTCGCATCGGAACCGACGCCTAATCGTCAATTTGGGACGTCACATATATATACTACTTAACTATTTTAAAATTAGACCCAGAATGCCGGTGACCAAGCCGGCTATTAAGCTTCATAACATTTAAATACTTCTGGTGCGTACATTTCTGGATTTTTGGAAAGCAAAAAACTGCATCTACACCTGCTAAACAGCAGAGAAATATGGCTTATTGTTGGGACAACCGAGTGGCGTTCGTGGTGAAATATTTATACGGTAAGTATCGAATTATGGTTTTGAACATTGTTGCTTGAGTTATAGGAAAAGTGGGTCAGAGGTTCTATTGTAATTTGGTTTGCGGAAAGTTCCTAATTATAGATACATATATGTATACTGGCAAAGTGTACTGGCTGGTCAGAATGCGTGCATGCTGTGAATTATTTATAAGCGAATTTTTCTGTAATGAATAATATATGCATTTTTTGCTGAAAAGTAGTTAACTTCTTAATGTTCTCGAACTCATCTGCATGAAAACCGAATCCTGATCCTCTAGGCGCGTCCGAACTTTATGGAGTATACATATATTAAAGCGCGTCCATATAAACCCTCCTAGAGGTTGCTTTGTGAAAAAACAGAATACATCTGCGACTATTTTTTAAAATGTTGTCGTACTCATAGCCCATTTAACAAAAATTTTCCGCTTTGTACGTCCGTGCTGTTCCCTGCTGATTATTGCTTATTTTTAAGAAAAGATCATCGACCGAAAAAACTTGGCAACCAAATCTGTATTGACTGGAGTGTTCAATTTTTCGTTGTGCAAGTTGGCGTTGAAAAACACCGGAATCGCATTTTGCTTCCAAAGTTGAAATCACTTTGTGCCGCAACGACTTTTCGTTCTTTTGCAATTGAGCCGCCCCGGACTGAGCCTTTATTTCCAGTTTGATGTAAAACATGCGATTTTTTCAGACGTGGATAACAATGGCTACCTAGATGAAAGAGACTTTGCCTGCTTAGCCTTGAGAGCCACAATAATTGAGGGCAAAGGCGAATTTAGCTTCTCAAAGCTTCAAGACTACCAGCACATTATGCTCAGTCTCTGGGAGGAAATCGCAGAATTGGCCGACTTTAACAAGGTATGAGAAAAGTGTCGAATGTGCAGCACGATAAAATGATGGTCTGTTTAAAATTGACAAGCTCGGGCAGCTGCTTAACAAAATTGCTATAAACACTAACACAAAACAATTGTTTTCTTAAAATGCAGGAGCTGTTGCAAGAGGGCAAAATCACCACCGACGAGTTCAAGCAGGCGGTGCAGCAGTGCTGCATGGGCAGACGGTACGAAGACTTTCCTCAGGCAATGAAAATGTTTATAGGTATTTATGCTTAAATTCCAAATCAAATCTATTCCTG